ACTTAAATTAATGGAGTACTTCTCTGTGTGAAGTTTGTGCTGTTGTGCAGGATTTGAGTGGGTAGGTCACTCTGGCATTAGGAATAAGACCTAAGCTGGAACAGCATTAGGAATAAGACTGAATTTGCATAGCTCTTGGAGAAGGGAAAGAAAGAAGGACAGAAAATGGTGGAAGCTTTATTTGTGCAGTTGAGGGTCAGTAGCAGTTGATGCCAATGAGGTTTTTTCCCTTTCCCACTCGAGAGCCCTTTATTTTTCCCCACTTTCATGTTTTTACCACTGCTCAGATATAACAAAACCATACAAATACATAATAATCTCTGGCTGCAAATCAAAGCAGGTGAGCTCGGAGCAAATTGGTTGTGATTTACAGGAGAAATAATTCAAACAAAACAGATTGTGTTCATGCACCTCAGTACACGTGTCACTACTCCGTTTTTTCTCCTTTTGTGCTCAGCCATATTATGACCTACAAGAAATGCTCAACAGAAATGATTGGCACTTCTGCTCTTTTCTTTTGTTCACACATTTTACATTGAAGAGAAAGACAGCGCGAGTTTGTAGCAATGTGAGCAACAGCAGCACATGATCCAAAGCCTCTGGGTTTGAGTAGGCATGCTTGGTGGCTTGAGGAACCTTTCTGACATACAGTATGCCTGTTATGGTGTCTCCAACACCAGATTCCAGTTTTGAACCTGCTAATCAGGAAAAAAAAGTGTGTGATGTTGTTGTCATGACATTCCTGAAAGCAAGTAGTTTTTGGCATGATAAAAATAGTCTCAGAACCTGTACAGAAGAAATAATCATGGCAACAGTAGATAATGGAGTGATGTAATCATAGCCAGTATTTGTAAAGAAAAATAGCAAGAAAAGTTGACAAAATAGAGTCTGTATCCTGCTTCCCATTGCTAAACAAGGCTTCAGCCCATACTTTATTCATTTGTTCTGTTGTGCTTTGTTCACTTTAAATTTCCAGTTGTACTGTGACTTTTCTGTATGAAGTGCAGTCTGCAGTCCTGGAGGATCTAACACAGGTATATCTGCAGGCCACTGTTTTCACTGTGGCTTATTCAGCTGTAAATGTCTGCAGTGTTAAATAAGCATGGTTGATAAATCATTGCAATGATGGATTTCCTATAGAAGGATCAAATTAGCAAAGAGGGAGGTATTCCTCTTGTGAGAAAATCAATTTTGTCCACAGGAAGAAGTAATGTAATTTAATTTCATCATTTAAATTTCAGGAACAGAGAAAAAAAAGTATATAAATTCTTTATTTGCATTTATATTTCTTTGTTTTTCTTTCCTCTCTGTATTTTATTTTCTTATCAATGGAGGCCATGTGAGCAAACTTATTTGCTGGTGCAGAGGATTTATATGGAATGTTTCCAAGCTGCTGATTTATAGAATGTCAGAGTACATTTTTAAAATAATTTCTCTCTTCTGATGCAAATGCAGACTAGAACAGACAAATGTCAACAGGAGCTTAGTTGATAGTTCCTCTCCATTTTCATGCTTCTGGGAGCTAGAAGCAAAAATTGTGATGTATAATTGGGGGGGGGAGAGAGGAAGTGTGTTTTTAAAGGAGACACAGGTGCTGGTTCTTATTTTTGACAAAGGTTTTGTTGCCAGTCTCAATCAACTCAGCATTTGACATTCACACAAGTGACTCTTCTATAGCTGGATGTGTGAATTAAATGCACCTTCTCTCTTTTTTTACAATCCCAGTGCCTTATTATTGTATCTCCATCTGCTTAAGGAAGGTGGCAGGGGAGAGTTGAGTACAACTTGCAGTTAGACTGTCTCTGTGAATGAAAACATTCCTGTTCTATCATAATCATCATAGAACTGTAGAGCTGGAGGTAACCTATGGATTATCAAGTCCAGCCCCTGTAAAGGAGGCACAGTGGGGAGTCAAACTCCCAACCTCTGTCTCCACAGCCACTGAGGTTTGCAGTCCCATTTCATAAAGGCTTCTGATGTATGACAGTGTTTCCCAAACCTGTGTCTCTACTTTGGATTTCAACTCCCACACGCAACAAGCTAGTATTGCCAGTGGTGAAGGATTTTGGTGATTATAGCCCAACACCATTAGAGTTTGAGAATCACTGGTACTGAAGACAGGATAGTATGTTGCTAGATATACTGTCCAAATATTGTACCATAATGGGTGGATATACCATCACAACGATCTGAGCTCACTGTGCTTGACATGTTAATAATCTTTATGATTTTAGGTTATGCTTTTAGCATAAAGGGGCCCACCAAGCTGAAAATTTTGCCCCTAAGACCCCCTTGCAAATGCCAAAGGAACAAATCTAGACCTAAATCCAGTAAATGCACCCCATTGCCCATGTATAACTTTGGATGACTAACTCTAATGCTGGGATGCAAAATCACCAATCCCAATCCAGCCCTCTGGCCCTTCCTCTTGATTCACTCCTTTTTGGGCCCTATCAATGCATCTAGGATCGCATCTGGTGCTCCATCACATCGTGGTATGATCGCAGACTGCACTACACGTTTTCTGGGAAAGTGCTGAATGAAAGCCTGCAGGTCCACAATGATCTGCAATATCGGCAACTTGCCCCATACTGGGTCAAGTCATTGCCACCAAGGTGGATCAACACAATGTCAGAGGGCACATCTGAAGTACCCTGGAATGCCAATTCCAAGAACCTGTCCCAGAGCATGCCTCTCCATCCCCTCCACTCCAGTGTAGCCCATGCACCAAGGCCCAGGCTTCATCCCCAACTGGTCTGACTGGCATACTTGGCTGCCCAGAACGCATAGCTCTGGCCACAAAGATGAACTTGAACTTGGGATGACAACATCCCTTAACCTGCAATGATAAGAAAACAAAACCAGAACACCAGAACCTACAACTGTGGTATTGGTTGTACGTACCCACAGTACTTGTGGGAAGTCCACCTCTTTTCCTTTTTAATGTCCTCTATGCTAAAACCTAGAGCAGCTGCTGTAGATGCTATATCAATACGAAGTGAATAGGTGCCAAATTGCCAACCTTGAATCCTGGCCTTTCATAAGGCATGAGAAATGACCCTCTAGAATTGATATTTTGTGAGCAGTGACGAATCTTCATGCCTCAGGAAACCTCTGTCTTCATCTCCTCTAAACCTCACATACTCCATAGTATGCTCTCAAACATCTTCCCAACAGTATAACCTGACCTTTTCCTAACTGGTCAGTGTGGGATCTCCGCAACTGAATAACTACTTGCTCATCAGAAACCCTCACATTCATCCTCTACAAAGAGGATAGAGATTTATCATTTTTTCCTGTTGCAACCAGTTCACCTATTTGAGGGCTCCCCAAAAAAGCTATGAATGTTGCTGCCCCAAAAAAGGCAGACCTCAAAGTGATCTGAGCTGATGAGATGGACAGAGGTTTCTGAGGCATGAAGATTTGTCACTGCTCACAAAATATATGATGTGCTGACATCTTCCCTTGTATTGATTTAGGGGGTAATCTTTTCGAGTGCAAAAATACACAAAATTGCATCAAATAATCAACTGGGACAGGCCTCAGCTGCCCAGCCCTTCCTCCTGCCGGAATGAGAAAAAACATGCCGTGGCATAGCTACGTCGAGTGCTGGGGGCCACAGCTAGGCTTATGGCTCTCTTGGCCTCTACCCTCCAAGATTCCATATCTCATCTGGTAGGATGTCCAGGTGAGACTGTGCCCCTGGCACCAACGCCCTGAACCAGTGCATCTGTTGATGGAACAGGGCATCAGCTAGAGTGTTGTCTACTCTGGGGATATGTTTTGCGTGGAACACTATGTGGCCAGCAAGTTGGCAGGCCACCAGCATCAAAAGGGACCTCATCTTCTTGGACCTTTTTTCCAATTGTGGGGGCCATTTGGTTATGGGCCAACTCAGTGGTTACCTTCAGGTGTGACAATCAGTCAGTTGTGCACGTAGTGAATTCACTTATGTCCAGATCCCAGAGGGTAATGATCCTCGTTAGGGCTCTGGCATTGCACTGCCTGTTCTCATCCTGACTGGACGGGCAGACAAAGAAGCTCCAACCCAGCAGCTCCACACCATTGTAGAGGGCCCTTCCACATGTTTATTTTAATACAGTAAAGCCAACATTAGGTGTTATTACTGAGTTTGGAAAGTAGATTTCAAAGGAATTCTGTGCTTAATTCCTCAAGCCTAATTTTAAACTAAGCAAGCTAATTTGCATAATCCCAAAAGTGAAAGAAGCTTTGCTGTGCTACTGTAATGCTTCCATAGTTAAGGATTCGCCTCTTCTGATATCTTGTCCATCGATCTGCCCACACATCAAGCAATCAGTTGCTTCTGATAAGTTCCAAAACAGAACACAAGTGCAATGTTACCCTCCTGTGTATACTCTCTTGCAACTGATATAAAAATGATTCTTATACAGAGCAGACTTTTTGGTGACACTTCCCTTCAGAAATGAAAGTTTTAATATTACCTCAATGCTACCTTATTGGGTGTGACAGCAAACTCTACCCTCCTAAGGTTTACCATGGTCAGGTAGAGAGGAAACAAGACCTCAAAGTGACTTCTGTCATTGTCCTACCTGAGAGTCTGCTGTTTCTCTCTGGTTTGGTATCAAGGAAGCAAGTTTGGTCCTGGACTGCCAGATGTTGATCCGTTGTGAATGAACAATGAAACAATCCAGGCTGAATGTAATAACTGCCTGGTACTATCCCATTATTGTCCCATTCTGCTGAGTTTTCTTTTCCTTGGCCAGCTTTTGTTTGCTCCTAATTTCCATGTTTTTCCATTGCTGCTTTGTCTATGCACTCTCCATTGGTAACTCTGACAATGGGGATGCAATGTGATTGCTTCTTCCCATTCTCTACAAGCTCTGCATGTTGTTTCATGCCAGGAAATGCTTATTCTTTTTAAGGACTATTTAAAAAAAATAATCCCAATGTTTTTTCATTTGGTTCATAAAGAAAAATCAGCTAATATGTTTTTCTTCCCTTTCTGAACCATCTTGAAGGAAACTAGCCAAGAAGCAAAAAGAGACTCAGAGTAGCAGTCAAAGAGAAATGGGGCCTGTTCCTACTTCAGACAAGACTTCTACCAAACTCAGTGCCGTTCATAATGAAGAAGCGTTTACTTCAAGCTGCCAAGATGTTAATGGATTCAGTAAGTTTTCCTTGTTTGCAGTGGGTACTTCTACATTTAGGAATTTAAAAGAAACATATCCTTTGGGAGTAAAAAATTAGAATTTGAAATTAAATATACAGGGCAAACTGGTAATGCTATTCATGAGAAGGTGACCCATCTCAATTCATGTTAGTCCTTTTATCGTAGCTCTCACTAGTGGTAAGAGATTTTTCTAACCTTGTTTGAATTATTTACTGAAAAGTTTCATTTTACCATCTGGACAATGCAGGCAGGTGTCCATCTTACTGAATTCTGGGATGAGTTGAGCAATTATGAACATGAACTACCATTGGAATTTGCATTTGAAAGCTGAGATTCCTCTTGGCTCTGCAGCCTAATGGCAATTGCTGCAGTGTTATAAATAGCCAGAACAATTGTAGCTTCAACTTCAGACATCATTTCCAGGCAGGATGGTGGATGCTCATAACAATATTTTCTCCTACGACTGGTGGGAGCAGACTAGTAGAGGAGAGCTAGTTGAGATTGCTGTTGAGCAGACCCTTCTAGTAGTTTAATGCTCAGATGAGCTGGGATTTGGCTACCTCCTCTGAAAGAGAAAGGGAGTCACATGGGTACAATGTGGTTTAGGACTGTATCCTCAAATTTTAATGTTTCATTTATATGGCTGATCAAAAGCATAGAAAACAGGGCTTTGCAGTTTTATTGCAATCTTCTGTGTTATGTTAGTTATATTTTCTATAGAATGTTTCCATAGTAGCATGTGGTTCTACTATTAATATGACTTAAAGCAGAGATGGGCAGTTTATGCAGATCTCTGGATGACCCTCTTCTGAAGCCCATGGAGATGGGTACAACATGATAGGACAGGAATGCATTTTCACTTTACAGTGGTGCCCCGCATGACGACGATAATCCGTCCCATTGAAATCACTGTTTAGCGAAAACATCATCGAGCGAAATATGTTTCCCCATTGGAATGCTTTGAAACCTGTTTAATGCATCCCAATGGGGGAAAATCCTCGTTGTGCGAAGATCGCCCATAGGGAAGCCATTTTGTGAAGCACTGATCAGCTGTTAAAATGGCTGTCTTGCGAAGCATCAGTCCCGAAAACCCCCGATTGCGAAGTGCCGATCAGTGGCAAAATCGTTGTCTTGTGAAAATCAGTTTGCGAAGCAGGGACCCAAACATCATCCGGCAAAAATCGCCCATTGGAATCACTGTTTTGCGAATTGCTATAGTGATCACAAAACCTCATCGTCATGTGGATTCGTTGTTTTGCGAGGTCCTCATTTAGCGAGGTACCACTGTAGATATGTTTCCCCCCTTGCTTTGTCAGGTAGCTCTGCCAGGTGTACAGGTGGATTAGCCATTCTGAAATGTTACTGAAAGTGCTAATGTACATATCAGCAAAGAGGTTAAAGTGAGGAATTGACATTCAAGCAGTAAAATGTCATGTCAATTTTTGCTGCTGTGCCACAGAATTTTGTTATCAAAATCAGTGGTGGTGACAGGAGAACCCTTGGGGAGCCTCAGAAATAGCCTGTAGAAATAGAATGCAGTTCTGGGGCTGCAATTTGCCCACCCGATCCAATACCATCAACGTACCCTCTAATTTTCAGCCCCGCTGGGTGGGGCTCCACCTCTGTCATGCACAACTCTGCCCCTGTGTGTGTACGCGGCTTCGTCCCCACACGCTAGGTTCTGTTGCAACTGGAACCTAACATAATTCCTGTGCAGAGGATGAAGACAGCTGTGTAGAGGGAAGCAGAGTCATGCGCACACATGCACACACTCATGCACCCATCTTAGCAGGAACTTTGAATATTGTGAAGGATGCAATATGGCATGCAAAGGTGTACAGTTAGGAGTGCTGCTGATGTAAGCTGAGCCCTATGATCTCATTCTTTGATTTTCTTCATATCACTATATATGGGGGACAAATATAGATTTTGTTCCTACTTGCTACCTTCCACTGGAGCTGGCCGCAAACTACTGATATGAAGAAAAGCAAATAGCATCACAGATTTCTTTCTTAACAATGATGGCCAAGACCTGGAAAGTCATATAAGGAAGTTCTTGTTTCCATATTTTGCTTTCTTTGACTGCAGTGATTACGGTCACCCTAGGGAAATATTTGTATCATAGTAAATTGGAGAGAAGAATGCTCTTTAAAGGGGAAATTATAATTCTGCACCCATATCACACAACTGCATTTTTAGTGAAAACTATATAGTGATTAACTGTGGTTAAACTGAAGTAACAGGACTAGTCACAGAGCAGAGGCACAAAGATGCAAAGGATGTTAATTCTAATGGAGTTTTGTGATTGTAGGGCAGTAACATGTGCCACTCACTTTTTTTTCTTGATAATGCTGTAGCGACAGGAAATTAGTCATCTCCAACTATTCAACTATTTGAATGAAATCCGTGTTCCTTCTGAAGCAGAACATATAATCATGATGAAGCCCATTTCATGCATTACTTCCTGCTCATGGTGCGGAAAGGAGGAGATAAGTGAAACTTAAAGATTTGTACAGGAGTGAGATTTCTGTCGAGAAAGTGCAGACCACATTTCCAGTGTACTTCATCCACATCCAATGTCTTGGATGCAGCACTTAAATTCCCATCTAACGTGGTGTAAGACACCCAGGTTTGTCATTGGAAATCAAATGTCTTTAGCTTTTTCTTCCCGCCTACCCCAGTTCCTAGGATGACATCTCAGTCATAGTATGACATCTCAGTCATAGTATAAGTGTTGGGATTTGAGCATTATGATGAAAGGAAGAGGAATTTATTTCTACTCAGTTAGTAGCAGAATCACTGGAAGTACAATAGGACAAGTTGGCTGATGGATGTGGAGCATACAATGGCAGAGATTAAAATAGCACCCCATCATTTCCAAGAAAGCACAAAATCTTACATAGACTCCATCAAAATTTTCTGTTCTTTAGAGAGAAATGTAGCAAAAGGCAATAAACACTGGATCAATCCTACAATATAGCACTTCAAAATCCCTTCTCCAAAGTACTGTACTTCTCTTGGCATGTCCTGATGAAACTATTCATTGTGATTGTCCTAGAGCTGCCTGTCATAAAACTGCATTCCCTCCTCTCCCCCCTAACTCTTTTCCCCCTCTATCCTTTCCTTATGTGGACTGTATGGAGAGAGAGAGACTGACATTTTTTAGTTCCCTCTGAATAAAAACCACAAGTTTTCAGATTAAGATTCAGTCCATTTTGGAAGTGTCCTGCTTTGGTTCAGAGATCTCCTTAATTTTCCCTATCAGCCCAATTTTGTTCTGGACTCAGGATTCTTCCAAATTGAAAAGCTGGCATTCAAAAAGCTTGCAGTCCCTTCTACTTTTCTTTTATCTGTAAATATAACTTATGCACACACACACACAAAAATCAAGGAAATGGCCAATAATTATCAGGAGTATATTTGAATTTGTAAGAGCTCTTTGGTATTAAATGTCTTCCTTTGAAAGTGATGTGATTTTACGCAGTGCTTTACAAGTGAATAAAAGTATCAGCTCAGTAAAGAAGGGAGATGACAGAGAACATCAGAGCAGGGAGCTAAAATTATCCACAAGTGTGCGTGGCATCCAATGAAGTACATGCAAGGTCATTACAGAGAACACGCTTCATGTAATTTGGTGTCCCACGAGCATGATGAGTGAAGCACTGTATCAAATGAACAATGATACGCTGACGATATATCCTGCTCAGAGGCACTGCTGTGCTGACACCATGCTGATGGGCTGTCATGCAGTAGGTCATAGATAAAGCAGACCTGGCAGGAGTGATCTAAGTAACAGCTCTGCATTATGGACACAAGTAGGCTGATAACAGAGAGAGAAAAAAGAAGAAGAAAGATAAAAGGTAGGATTTTATTATAGGTTGCTTATTCAGGAATCTTAATTTGGAAGGAAGCCAAGCAACTTTGCTTTGAAAATGAAGGGCGTGAAAATGTCACTTCTGAAACAGAGAATGTTGCCTGGGGATGTCTGTGGGAGGAAGTTGCGTTAGGAGAGAGGGAAACGGATATCTGACGTTGCAATCAAAGCTGTGCTACCATGTAGAATTATAAAGTTACACTTGTCTACTGGGAGCTTATATAGGAAAATCAGGGCAATGATGATCTATTAAAAGATGTGAAGGCATAAGCAAGTTCCTTATGGGAGTTTTTGGAGTTGGTACTAAAATTGAGCAGTTGTGGAATTCAGGTTGAATATCTAACTTGTGCAGCATATGAAGTCTTCCTCCAGATCCTGAAAGCCTTGGGAAATCCACAAGACTTTCATCATACTTGTTCCTTTAAAATGGTTAGAATGCATTCACAGCATTCATTCATGTTTACAGAGAAAAAGAAAGAGTTCTGTGCAAACTTTAATGATTAAGTCTGTGAAGAGGAATAACTCTTTTCTGCTTAAATAAAAACAAAAGTAAACGCATCCTTTGGAAAGACACAATTTCTTATATGGTTGTTGTAGGTTCTTTGGACTATTTGGCCATGTTCTGGAGATTTTTCTTCCTAAGGTTTTGTCAGTTTCTGTGGCCAGCATCTTCAGAGGACAGGAGCTAGAAGGTGTCCTCTGAAGGTGCTGGCCACAGAGACTGGCGAAACCTTAGGAAGAAAAACCTCCAGAATATGGCCAAACAGCCCTAATAACCCACAACCACCATCGGATCCCGGCCATGAAAGCCTTCGAGAACACATTTTCTTATATATTGGACTTCCACATTTTAAGGATTGTATGGAATTGATGTATGGACAAGATCCAGGCATAATAGCTAGGAATTTGTCAAGTTTCAAGTGTGGTGGGACAGGGGTGTGCATATTAGTCCTACCTCCTATGTGCCTACCCTACCCAGAATTCAGACAGATCTTTGCTTGTTCACAGCTGAGGTCTGCAGCAGCACTTGTGACTGCATTCAGCGAATTGGTCTTGCAATATTTCATGCCTGGAAGCCGGCAGCCCAGCCATATCTCCATCTCCACGTCACTACTGTACTATTATGCTATCTCTTAGGAATAACTGTCTGGAACTGTACTCAAGGTTTTGGCTAAAGCTCTGTACAAAAAATTAATGGTATACTTTAAAAAAGGGAGGAAGTTATGAGAGTCTGGAAGACTCAAACAACACAAATGAGAACACATTGTGTTCAGCACAGTTTTGTTGCTTTTAACCAACTTAGTTGCCAGCCTAATTTGGAACTGTCCCAGAATCAGATGAAATTGATGTTCAGATGAGGAGGCAGGGCAGAGAAGCCTGCAATGCTGCCTTTGAATGATCAGCTGCCAGAGGAGGAAGAGGAGGGAAACTCACGCTGTGGGGGTGAGCAAGCAGTCACACTGAGGAAGTGGGGAAGGAAGCGTGCACTGCCCAGGAATGGACACATGCACAGAGGAGGCAGGAAGGGAGAATATGTGGTGTCTATGGAACACGTGTGGGTGCAGTTCAGAATTCAGCTGAGCTGCTATTCGTGTCAATCTCTAGTTCTAATTCATGTGGAAAACTTCCACGGAGAACAAAAACTCTTCCTCTTCAGATGTCAGGGAACATATAAATACAGAAGTAAAGGGCCACAGAGCTACCTCTGCTCATGTGATGAATATATTCAAGAGTGGTGCCAGAATATAGCTAAGGTTTAGGGCTGTGGTTTTGGCTTTGATGTATAGCGCACACACAAAAAAGGAAATGTACTGATTTAATTACCAGTGAATGTTCTAACCCTGGGAATTATATCTGCAGTCTAATATGCAGAGAATGTGTCTTCAGATTCTTCATAGCAAGTATATGTTGGTGGGATGGATTTGATTGAGAGGCAGGCTTTTCTGTTCATTCCTTTGCAGATTGTGTTTTGGTGTACATGTTCAACATCCTAACAGACAATCCCTGATGACTTTTTTTTTCTTTTTTTTTTCTTTTATACTTCTTTCTTGATTCGTTTTTGTTTAATTGTAATGTTTTTTAAAACTGTTTTGTTGTGTGATTGTAAGCCGCCTAGAGTGGTCTAATAAGACCAGATAGGCGGGATAGAAATAAAATAAATAAATAAATAAATAAATAAACTCTTTTTACCCTAACACCACAAAACATATTCAGTGAAAAAGCCATTACCACTTTTTTTTTTAATTTTGAGGACTTTGCAAAAAAATAATCCGCAATACTAAAAGATATGGTTGCGAGTCCACCTACATTATCATGCAATAGTCCAGAATAATTCAAATAGTCTGTATTGTCCAGGGTAGTTCTGATCCTCAGTGATAGATTGTATCCTTTTATAGTGTTGAGGTTATCAGAATAGATGTGTGGTGTAGTATCTGAGAAGGGAGAACATATATAGCATAGTATGGCAAGGCATACCAAACATGTCCTCTATGGGTTTGTAACTTCTACTGTATATTAACAGTACTAGAATACATCATGTTTATTAAAAAAGAGAATTATTCACATTGAGCAAGTATGCTTACTTCTATTCACTTTAATTAGGCAAAGTCTGGAGTATTCAATACTGCACTCTTCTCTGAGGAATTTCATTCCCTGTCCTGTTATCTTTCCAAGTATACATTTCTAAAGTCTCTTCCTTGTGTCTTTCTTACCTAGCTCCATCTTCTCCTTGTTCATTTTCTGTCCAAAGCAAAACTCTTCAGAGCAAATCTTTGTTGAAATCCTACTACTCAGGTACTTATTGTCTATGACTGCTTTTATGCATATCCCTGTAGATAACATAAATATGGCAGTGAAGAACTGTTTGGAATGCTAGAAACAGCTAACCTTTTGTTTTTATTTTATTTTCCACATTTATTCTCCTGTTGACCTTCTATTGGGTTCCATTGATCCGTATTCTGTGCGCAAATGGAATTTCATCTCAAAAGTATCATCAGACACTGTTCCATCGACCACACTGTTGGGTAAGAGAACTGTTATGATGCACAATAGCCTGTTGATGAGAAAACACATTCATTCTTTCCAAAAATGACTCAATAGAAAATTGACAAACAAACTCTAAAACATTATTTATAAGAGATAAGGGCCTCTGTCAGCAATAAACACCTCCCTGCATCACTGAGAAAGTTATGTATGTGCATGTTTTATCATATGCAGAGAGTCAGAACTATGTTCTCTTATAAATTTTCATCCTCCAAACCTTGTTTAATATGATGTGGCCTCATAAACAAACACTTTACAAATGGTAGGACTCAATTCCACTTTTTTACTAAAAGATGGAATTCCATGCGAGAAAACATGAGTTTCAGAGGACCAGATTTAGGAGCATTTTATTCCATCAGCCCAGCACAACAAAAATGCATGGCTATTATCACATTATGATATTCAGTTTTTATCACAGATTTTTCCTTTAAATATATTTTAAAATAAGATTCACAGCCTATTTTCGCCATTCTGTGCTTCATTTTTAAGATTAGAAGAAGAAGAAAACACCCTTAACACATACAGATGATTGAGTAATAAAAAATAGAATAGAATTTAGAATTGGAGGTGGACATCTGACCATTTCAGCTCTCCCTGGGTCTATTTTGGCAGCATTTTTGGTAATTTGTGTGGCCCCCCAGAGAATTCTGCAAGCCAAACATTGGCACAGGGCCCACTGAAATGGCCCACTCATGCTTTACAGAATAGATCTACGAAATCGTATATCACATTATTTATTTGAGGAGAAAATAAAATGTATAATTGCCTAGTGATTTGAAGTATCGCTTGAGGAACCTGGTAGCCACTGTGTATGTGAAATTTGCAAAGGGCAGCTGAAATGATTTGAACATAATATAAAATTTATGGTGACAAATAAAATTTATCTTGTCATATTTATGCAACCTGGTATCTTGGAATGCTTTCAGTAAGCATCCAGATACAGCAATAAATATTATTAAACAGTTCCCATTTGATTAATAAATTATGTCAAGGTTGCTTGCTTAGATGAAACTCCAGAAACTCAACCCACCAAATATTATTCATTTAGCAGTCATTGTGCATTATAGACAGCATACCAAGGGGTCTTGGGTTATTTTTTGCATGATACTTTGAATTGGAAAGTTAATATCTCAGCCATAAAAGTGTGTGTGTGTGTGGTGTTGCATTGCCATACTCCATATTTCTCAACATCCAGACCATAATTTTGTATGTAGCACAGTATGACTGAGGAGAGACCCTCCTCAGTCTTGGCTTCTATAGTCCAGACTCCCAGAGCTACAGGAACTAGATTTTATTAATGTTGGGGAACAAGATACAAGGGAAGGATTAGATACCAGTTCATTGGGAGATAAGGGTGACTTTAGTTCATGAATCTCTACCCATTCCATTCTTAGTCTGAATGCAGGTTTCTGGCACTGGGCTTGGGCTGTCTATTCACATTGTTGGGGGTGTTGGCCCTAAGCCAACTCACACCATTTAAGGAGAGTTTTTAGGACACTGCCCTGGTCTCCTCAGTCCCACATGCTGCTGCCTCCCACACTCCCTTTGTTGCTTCTGTCTCCAGCACCTCCTTTGATTCAAGGCGGGGGCCAGGTGCTGTGTTCTCCATGGTGAGCAGAAGTTGGAGATATCAGTGGATTGAAGATGGGGTTATTGTTGTCACATCCCCTTTCTTTGGCCACAGGGAACTCAACCCTATCCAAGGGTTCTGGACTTTCATATGCTCTTCTTCTCCAAGGCACAGAAGACTAAGTTCAGCTATTCTTCAGCATCACTCTTTTCCCCTAGATTCAGAAGAAGGTGACAAGACCTCCCCCTAGTATTCTTCCTCCTCCCTTATATCTGACTCCTGACAGATGAGCCCAGCCATTGCCTCCCTGCCCAGATGTGGCTGGCCTTTCCTGGGCTCCCACCCATGGCCTCCATCTTCCTGTCTACACTGTCCTGGACTGAACAAATGGTATCTCCATCAGGTCCACCGAGGAGTGCAGGATCAGGCCAGACAGTCCTCCAGTGACATCTGGATAATCACCCTCTGACACAGTATCTCAGACATAGTAATTTTACAATACTATCTCCCTTTTCCTACTTTTGGAATCATTATGTTGTTTCAGATGAAGAAATACAATCTAATTTCCAGTTGTACAAATCTGTACTGTTATGCAGTACAAACATATTAACATAAAAATTTGCCACTTTTGAAAGAAGCATGAAGCCTTCTGCGCAAAAGAAGATGCCATTAACTGGACAGTTAATGTATAGTGTATCATTTAAGTGACTCTGATAGAGTATGGCTGAAACAAGATCATCCAACGGGTTGCATGGCTGACCCAGTATTTTTTTTTACCATTGTGTGATTGAGAAACAAATACCTAAGGGTATAATCATATAGACATTCTTGCAAGCATACAATGTACGGGAAATAGTGCTGCAGTCTGACTCCAATCCATGTCCAAGCTGGACTTTTTGTGTCAGCAGCTGAGCTTCTACTTTTGGGAGCTTGGCTGGAAAAATTCCTTGACAGACAGAAGGGTTGCTTTAAGGGTGATTGCTGCTTGCAAAGTGACCCTTTCCTGTACAATTGGATATCTGCCTTTCTCACTGTCTGATCATACCCTAACTATAAACAGTCCAGGATTGGTCCAACTAGTTTTGTAATATCCATAGCTCTTCAATTCCAGACAAGATCTTTAGAAGCCAGGCAGCTACCAGCTCAAAACACCAGGGATTGAATCTGTGTCCTGCGTCATGCCTGTCTTCTTCTACTGAGCTATGACCCTCATGTCTTAGATCTGAGATAAACATTCATGTAGCAATAGAGAAGGAGCACCAATCAGACTTACCTTCTTGTTCAGAGTTTCCTCTTCTTCCACCCCAGATTCTTCTGGAATAGGTAAAAAGGAGGAGAAAGAGTATGATGAGAATGGGGGTTGATGGAATTGATGTTTTGTAAATAGGTTGGTATATAAGTAAGGTAGCCACAAATTATTATTATTTTGTCCGGATACTAATCAAAGCCAGTGAAATATGTAGCTTTAAAAACTCCAATTTTCTTTGAAATGAGTATCTACGACCCTTCTGCTCTGAAATCTAAAGTCCAAGTTATTTTGTCTTCTGTCCTTTTAATAAAAAAATACAGTAGCGGAAAACAGTCACATCTTGATTTATAAAGTTAAAAAATAGCAAGGATTCCGTGCACTTGCTGAGTTGTCTCTTGATAAGTACTGCTTCCCTGTCATGTGCATCTTAATAACTAAAAAAAAGTGAAGCTAATAATAGTTCATGATAACTGAATTTCAGCATCATTAACCTGATCTGAAGATTGGGATTTTCTTTTTTTAAGTGGGAGTTTAAAAACTGATAAATTAGCTGTCATTCTGCAGTTTATTCCAGAGTTGCTGCAGGGGCAGGGTCTATCAATTCATCTGGAGTGTGATGTCAAAGCAAAACGACTGATAGAGATCTTTTTTGGTATTGAAAAGTCTGAAAAGTACTTACAATCTTAAATGGCTATGAGGAATTCCAAAGATTTTGGTTACAAAGTTACCAGATGTCAATAAGGAATTTGGTGAAGAATGGTGCATAGAAGAAATGCCTGAAGAAAAGCAGGACAAGCTATTTTACTTGTTATCATTACATTTTAAACCTTTAAAAGGGTGATCTATTTATAGATAACAGAAATGTAAACTGATCTGAGAAAGTGACAGACCAGTTGATCCCAGTAAGGGTAAATAATTCATTTTATGGAAGAGAGAAGAGGAAAACATTATAGATTGAATTACAGAGAATTATAGACTGATAATGTAATTAAAGGGGAAATGCATACATAGATATTGGTAATGGAAAAAACTCTAATTAGAAGTGAACTCTGGAATTGCTTTCTATTGAGCTTTCAAGAGAAGATTTGACATTAGTAGAATTCTCTCTCTCTCTCTCGCACACACACACACACACACACACACACACACACACACACACACAAATCTATTACAGAACAAAATACAGTTGTGCCTTGACTTACAGTATGACCATAATCCGTTCCAGAAAATGGACGTAACTCAAAATGGTTATAAGTTGAAGCACCATTTCCCATAGGGATGCATTGAAATGCAATTAATCTGTTCCGGGCAAAGAAAAAAAATCACCCCCCAAAAAATCACTGCAAGACTCATTGGAAACATGATTAATACCTTCCGGCTAAAGGGGGCGGGGCAGAAAAGCAATCAAGCGTGCAAGACCCATTGCAAATGCACATAAAACAAATGGAGCAGATTGGAAATGCACAGAGAACAAAGGGACAAGGTCGGAAATGCACAGAAAACAAAGGAAAAAGTAAGGGAAGCATGCAGGACCCATTGCAAATGGGGGAAAAAACCCAAAAAGCAACCAAACTCCCCAAGACCCATTGGAAATGGGAGGAAGCCAAAGAGCAACCAAACCTCCCTAGACCCATCAGAAATGGGGGGACCCAAAAAAACAAACAAACCCCCAAGACCCATCACTAGCACAGAAACATAACCCCCCAGCCTAAAACCATGCTGCACAAACACCCAGAACAGTTTTTAAAAAGCAGAAAACAGCACCTTACCTCACCTAACAGGCAGTTGCAAGCCTCTCTGCAAACACACACACGCTCACTGAGAAGCAGAAGCCAGGCAGTCCCTCCTTGATCGCACTCACTCTAACCATTGGGGCAAAAGAGCTACAAAGAAGCAGACTCTTTCGCCACCTACCGTTAGCAATTTGAATTTCCCACCTTTTTCCCATGCCTTTTTCTGTTCATCAGTGGAAGCTCCGGTCACAAGTAGAAGCAAAATTTTGCGATCGGAGCTGTTCGTAAGTCAAATTGGGTGTAAGTAGGGATGGTCATAAGTCGAGGCACCACTGTATTGATTAAACAATAAGATTAAATAATAAGATTAATTACACATTGAGAATGGCACTGTAATTTATCTTTATGAAATTTAATGCAATGTGGAAA